AAATGCATACAGTTCACAATATCTGAAGGTTTTCAAACTGATTTTTCTAATGAAAACCTGTAATTCGAATAATGACTAGCAAAATTTCCGAAATGAAATGATAATGCCATCATTGTGGGAAAAAGTTGTTCTTTCTAGGCAAATTTTCAAGGTTCTGACCTTACAAAGAGCTTTAATTTGAAAAATCAACATTCTAAATATGTCTAATGCGGGCACAATTATATTAAATGTTCATGTTTGTAATATATCGTCAATGGAACTATCTTTCACATTTCAAGGATTGTTACTGTTCACAGTCAGGTTGAATAAATGACAGATCAAAACAACACAGTATGTTGAAAAAGCACGAATGAAACACTTTTGAGCTCTGCAACGAAAGCTGCAGAGAGAGACTGAAATTGATTCCACATTTGGGCGATCGATACTCGTATACTTAATAAAGATTCCCTACAACCATATCCATTTATCGTACGTTTCACTGAAAACTGTTTTGAACGCTCGAATTCATTAACTAACTAAATATGCATGCTTCTGCAAAAAGTAATCAAAGTAAGGCTCTTGGAGAGGACATTGTATAAACAAGATAATGTTTTCCTGCCTCTCAATCATTTTTTATGCCGACTTCGTTTCTTGGAAAGAGATGTCAGTGGAGTTAATGTTGAAAACTGCGGCACTGATTGAGACTTATTCTCTGAATCGGAATGAATGCTCTCATGTTCTGATATTCAAATAAAAATTGTCAGTCTTTTCACAGGAACGTCCTGGAATAGGCTGCCCTTCATGTGACCTTAATCAGCGATGCTATTGAAAATTTCCTAGAGAAAACTGTAACTGGATAAAAATAAACGTTCTGAACTCGAATATAACTCTGAAATGTAATAGAATATAGATTATTTGATTATAGATTATTATGGAATAGATATACTATTATTATNCCTTAATTGAATTTTTCACTTTTTGATCTTTAATAACAAGGTAGAAAATACAAATTTTTCAATTTTTTCAACGGAGGCTTCCAAAAAAGCTCCAAGAAGTGAACAAAATTCAGTGGCGTCGGGAACTTGAAAATATATTTCAGTTCATTTTACGATTTGGCGAAATTCCATGTTCACAAGTTTCTCAAATTCACACTTTTTACCTTGCAATTATAGTTGTAAGTTTCCAACCAACAAAAAATTGTAGTCGTAAGTTGCGAATACAGGGTGTTTCCTTACTACGGTACGAATATCATAAATATCCTTACACCGATTCGGTTGAAATTTGCTGCAGTTATTTGAAGTGATAAGACGCTTATTTAGCCTGAACTAGATGGAAATTATTAGGTGCAGTTGCATTTCAGTGGGCATCACAGCCAACAATATTGAGAAAAAAAGGAACTGAAAATACAAATTTTTCGTTGTTTGTGTTTTCTTTATATCAAGCTTCGTTTTCAAGAAAAAAAGCACTTCTAAAAACTATCCATGGTCAACATAAAATAAAAACCAAAAGTAAATAATAAACAATTTCGACTTCAAAGTAAATGAGCTTCTGATAAAATACACGACTGCAATCGATTTGTCATTGATTGTCTGATGTTCAAAAATACCTGGAGTATTCCTAATGACATTGCTATTGACAATTATTTGATTCCTCAAGTCATTCACATCTAGTAGAGGCATTTTATAAACCACAGCCTTCAGATGACTCCATAAATAGAAATCTAGAGGATTTATATCAGGACTGCGAGCTGTCCAATTTTGAGGTTCGGCACGTCCAATCCAGCGAATCGGGTAGGAGTTGTCGAGATGTTGACGAGCAAGAACACTAAAATAAGCTGGAGCCTTCTAACAAAATGGGTAAATGATCTCTCAAAAAGTCCGTGTAGTCCTGTTAATCTTGCTGGTAGAAAAAATGGGCCAGTTAGGTAGTCACCAATCATTCATAGCTAAACTTTTAGCGCAAATTGTTGCAAAATTTTTTTCTCTATTAACGTGGAGATTTTCGACAGCCCAAAAATGGTCATTGTGGTATCTCGTGAAGACTTAGCTTCGTTCGTAAATAAAATATTCGGAGAAAATTTATTATTGTGTGCCATCGTATGAATCAACCACCAACATCAATATTGGATGAAAATCCCCAGGCAGTAGAGCTTGGACTTACTGTATGTGATATGGGTATAGGAGGTTTCTTTTTGGACCTGTCCATGCGGTTTTTGGGCTGACTTCCAGCTGCAGTGCAATCTTGCTGGTACTATTTGAAGGATCTTCTTCTGTCGCATCAAGTATAGCTTCTTCTAGTTCAGGCGTTGTTACAGTTTCTGCTCTTCCACCACCTACATTTTTATTGAAACTCCTAGTTTCACATAATATTGCATGTAGCGTTTTGAATGTTTTAGCACATGGAATTACTCTATGAAGATCCCGTGGGTTGGGCTATCTGTCGGGCGTGCCCAGGTGGCGGATAGGGGAACGGCCAGGGGACTGGAGGCCCTGTCCGGGAAGTCAATGTGGCCTTACGGACGGGATCGCCTGGTCAGTGGCAGAAATAAGTGGGTGAGGGGAGCTAAAACTCCCCATAAGCCATTGCGAAACATACCACCGTGGACCAGCCTACCCAAGCTAAGGTGTAAGGAATCGTGTCGACAGCTGAGTGGCCGCAGGGTGATATGCGGTTACGAACGATCGCCTTGGGGAACCGGGCGAAACCTCATTGTAATCAGCCTGGCTCTGCCAGAGGTGACCGACTCTTGCTTTGCTACTCGTGGGAACACACATGGATACAATAAAAAAAACAACCATTTCCGAGGCTGGACAGAAATGCTCACCTCAATCTATGGCGGTGGCTGGCGATGAACAGAAATGTCCACCCCAATCTACCGCTCAAAATGAGGCTGGACATAACAGATCACCTTGTGACGCTGCACAAAGGCCAAGGCGTGAGCGCATATCCGGCGCCGAGGCCAAAAGGAGAAAGAGAGTGAAAGAGGCAGGAATGGCAGCAACCATAAGTGCACCCTCCTTCTCTTTCACTCCACCTCCAACAGCAAGGGCACTTCCTGCGGCGGGGGCCAAGAGACTAACCCGTACGGTAAGGTTGCCGCAGAACGGGAGAGTCTCATCAAAAAACTTCTGATGGAGGAGCTGGATAAGATTATCTTCACCGCCTCCAACAGCAACCAAAGGATGCAATCTTGCCAGGATCACCCTGGGAAGCTGGCGCCGAAGAAATATCTGGCGATGACCAGGAAAAATCTACTAAGGAAACACCTCCATAATATGGGGCTAGTGGACACACCTCTATGCAGGATGTGTGAACAACAACAATTGTGTTTATCGAATTTCCTGCAAATATCCTACTCTCCTACATCCAAACTTTCCATCTGATTGAATTCGATGTCTATTAATAAACTAGCAATCAATTCAATACGTGTTCAAGTTTTTAAACAGGCAAAGGTATTGGTAATTGGTTTTGGAAAATAAACTGTTGATCATGCTAAACTCGAGAATATAGAAATTTCAGGTGCTGCTCATAATCTTTCACAAAGTTAGATATATAATCAATAATAAACAGTGTGTTTACATTGATGAAACCGTAAGTAATCACCATCTAATCAAATATGGTATACCACAAGGTACGGCCTTAGAACCTTGTACAACGCATTTATGATTCAACATCAGACAGCGCTGTTTCGACCCACCATGAATCTCATCAGTGGTGCTATATAAGACTTCCTATTTATTTCACGATTTTCATTTATCAATTTGAATTTCAGGTAGAAACAATTCGCGTAGTTCTCAAAAAGGAACTGGATCTTCCCATTATTGAAATGTCCGATGCCAAAGCAAGACTGGATGGTGGAGACGTTTTGTTCACAGGTGAGAAACCAATGTGGCTTTCAATTTGAGGAGTGTATGAAGGAAAATGTTTGTTATCAATTTTTGTCAGTGAATGGTAAAGGTGGTAAATAAATAATAAACCCTGGAACTGCTCCATGTGCTCGGTTCTTATGAGTGAAATATTTTTGTAATCATCGAAAATAATGGTAACGATAAATCGGTTACCGAATGTCCTCTCAAAATGGTAATTTTTTTGAAATCATTTCGTTTAGATTGTTGGAACCCACAATCACCTTTGTCACATCTGTATAAAAATGGCCAAAAATCCGCATAGATAACGGTTTTCCAGTGAAATAATTTTTTCCTACAGCTCTTTGATGAATAATTTGTCTCGGTAGATAATAATTGTATTTTTGAGTTTGAGTTTTCGATTAGAATAAAATCGCTCAGACCCCTATACCACTATCATTACCACTTCTTTGGCACGATGATTCTAACCTCTAAATCCTTAATGGAATTGGGGTTCAAGCGAAACATCACTGAGAAATCGTCGATTTCTCTTTTCAACCCATTCATTTCATTGAATTTGATGTAGCAGGTACTGACAAAAATATAAGTTGATGAAAATTTTGTGTGGAAAGTAGATGAAGAAAGTTAGTTTTCATCAACTCTCAAATAAAATTATTATGTCATTATGTCATTTTTCCAATTTAATACTCCCTGACGGTAGGTGCTCTAATATTACAGTACAATTAGTTTAATGACCAAAATTTGGATAAGCATGTCAAGTATTAGACAATTATTCAAAATTTCTGTTGTAAACCGTACGAGCATTCGAAGAATTTTAAAATACCCAATATAATTCATCTTGTGACAAATTAAATGAAGGTGATTCAAACAGGTGATACCTGTCGGGTTCAATTTTTCTGTACGAACCTTCTTTCAAAAACTGTACAAGTAGTAAATACTGTTACGTTTTTCCCCCGTGGGTTCACCGATAATTGATTACACTGAATAATCAAACTCAACTTTATTTCACTTTAAATACACCAAACAATTCAACTAAAACTTCAACTATTATTTGAATATCTATCGCCTTATTAGATTACTTCGCGTACCAAACTGTAACGTAACCTCGACTGTCTCGATATCCTCCTGGCTAGCCTTTAAATATCGTAATCGAATGTCGTCGAAATTTCTCCAAAGTTCTGTCGAAACCGATAGCATTATTCTCGCTGCTTCTCGATTGGCGGAGAAGCAGCGTGCACTCGCGCGCTCTTGGCCACGTCACACCTGGTTTATGGCTACCAGCGGCGGCCGGCGTTATTTCCTTTCGGGCATGATTTACAACAATACAATCAAGTTTTTTCAAAGAATAAAATACAAGCACTACAGGAAAATCCTTAAGGCGCTGTAAGAGCGGTACCTGTGCGAAAGTAGCGATTCACATTGGATTTGAATCACTGGAGATCAAATCCATTTGGAAAAACGTGTTCAGGAAGTTTATTCTACATGGATGCAGTTCTCCAAATGAAAGAGTTCTCAAACAGTGAAGTACGAGGTGTACTGAATTGAATCTCAAAACGATGAGCAGCCACAGTCGCAAATTTCTGATATGTACCGCTTTTGATGGAATCAAATGTGCCAAGTCACTTGAACTCTTCTCGTGAATCTTTCTATAGAAGAGAGACAAATCTCCAACATTTCTTCGATGTTCCAGACTATCAAGATTGCAAGTGATGTTCGCGTCTCCAATCAGGCGGATGGCTCTTTTCTGGATGGAATCCAGCAGCTCCATGAGAACAATACTTAATAGAAGGTCTGATCTGAGCTTAATGAAGCATCAAAAGTTGCTGAGGTGTGTACAGTTTTCTGGTTCAGAACAGTGTGCTGAGCTTTTGAGAAGCAGCCTTTGCTACTCCAGCGACATGATTGTGCCAAGACATGTTGGTGTCCATTTCAACCCCCAAAAAACTTATCGAAGTGAATTTTTATTGAATATGTCCACTAATTCTACACTTCAGGTTCGTTTTAAATGGACCACTCATTGAAATCTTTCCGATGTTCTTTTCATGTCCATAAAAGGGTATCCATAATAGGAATGATCACAGACTTCCTATGGGCATCCATTTATCGTCTATGTTTGTATTGACAAATAATGGATATTCATGTTCACAGAGATCAAAACGGGACCTTTCATGGATGTCGGATGGGGGAGATAGATACAGCAATTATTGAGACCACCTGCCTGTAGGTTGTCGGAATTAGACTGATAAATATCATAGAAGTATTGCAATGTCTTGAAAATTGTCAAATATTTTGGATTTGTTTTTCTCAACTGAGTTAGCTCAATACTACAGTGACACTGTTAAAAATATGCGGTCTGAGTATTGAGAAATCTACTTTGACAAATCGACCTTGTTGAGTGTACGACTTCACTTGTTAACGACTACTATGTATTTCCAGTAGTTTATTTCGATTTTTTTTAATCGAAATAATTATTTTTCAGGTCGGGAATTTTTTGTGGGCCTTTCCCAATGGACAAATGAAGCAGGAGCCAGAGCAGTTGCTGCAGCGTTTCCGGAATATCCATGTACACCTATTAAGGTAACAGACTTCGCTCTTCTTCTCATATTCCATAGTTTGCATGAGACAGTTTTTGGAAGAATGTTTTCCCAGGCATTGAATTGGCAAAGTGGTCGGTCTAGTGGAATAGCCAGCCCCAATCGAAATATCCAACCCAGTAAACTTAAGCTGTAATTACATGAGACTTTGGTGATGTCCATAATATCATATTGTGATTGTGTAAAGGGTCCTGTATGACTTCAGGTTCATTATAATCGTTTGCATAGAATTCAGAAGTCTTGTATTCGATTTACATATGGAATTCGAAAATTTGATCACATTAGCGACAAGTTTGTAGATTCCGGGTGGCTTAACCACGAAAAAATGAATAAACTTCTTTTCCTCACTCTTGTTCACAAAGTATTGATTACTGGTAATCCCACATATCTACTCAAAAGGCTAATAACAATGCGTAGCCCGAAACAAGTGATACCAGAAAAAGCAATATATTACTTGTACCTAAACACTTTACTCTTCTATTAGCACGAAGTTCATCTTACGTCTATTAGAAAGAATATAACTTGCTTCCTAATGATTCTGGGATTACTCTCTGTATAACTTCAAAAAGAAGTTGAGAAAGAGGCGTACTCTAGATGCATCTGTTGGTGAATGGACCGGCTACTACAAATATATGATTTTTCAAAATTGTAAGTATTAGATACCAACCTACCTATATCTGTTCAATATATTTAACCAAAATGCTATAGTCAGTATTGTTATATTTTTTGTAAATACTTCTGTGTAGAATGTGTTGTAACATCTGGCCATTCTTCCTCTGGAAATGATAACATTATCAAATAATCATGTCATTTATTTTCAAATCTTTGTTATAATCATGTATTTTATGAAACGTACCGTTAGCGATATTATTTGCATAGCTTCAGTTTTTTCTATTATATCTGTTTACTTCAGGGTTGAGTTGAAAAACAGCTTTGGTTGATACTTTGGCCATTGGTCATAAGGTTTTCTTCAATTAATGTAAATATGAATAAGATATCATTTATCTCTTGTGCTGAATAAAGTCGATTATTATTATAATCAATGTTGCATTTCAGTTGATTTCAAGAGAATGCTGATTGCTGACCTGGGACTACTTTCAATGATGCCACCGATTTGCGTTGCATCATTGAAAGGCAATTGTAATTATGATTTGGATTTTATTCCTATACTTCGAAAATAACATTTAAGCATTAATCCTTATCCAATTAAGTACCTTCAGTATATTGTGCATTTAATATAGATCAATGTTGCCCTTTATTATTCCTTTTAGCACAGAAAACAAATTACTACACAATAACACAAATCTCACAAGACAAGGCCCCTGTCTTTTATTTAATATGGTTTTCATACCAAAATTTTACGTCGACATATTCTTCTGAGATACAGTTTACGTTGGAAAACTATGTAGTTGTATGTTATATCTGTTGGACTGTTATCAGTAATTTTTCAAGATAAAATCACTTTTCTTTGCAGGTACCAGACTCAAAACACTTGAAAACATTGATAACGATGGCCGGTCCAGATTTACTGTGCGTAGGAGCTGGAAAAGATTCCCAAGAAGTTCTGAAGAGAATGGAAAGGGAAGCGACCTTCAGCTATCAAACGCTCACTTTACCAGAAGATGAAGCTGCCAACGTCCTTTATCTGAATGGTACTCTGGTTCATCGCAGTATTGAAGAAATACCCCGATCCTTCAAGGTAAATTTTTCAAAAATGTTAATGTCAGGTAACATCTTAGTGTCTTCATTTTGCAATATAGAATTATTATCATGATTACTGTTAATTACTTGATTTTCATCAAGTAATGTCAGGTAACGTGTTAGGAATCACACGTTGAAAGGTGAAACCTCGTTAGTTCTTAGCTCGCACAAGTTTCGACTTCTGAGGGTTGTCGTTCGTAGTGGTGCGACAGCTGGTTAATGGAGAAACATATTTTAAACAACAATGGATCAGTGTATACAAAATTTGTCTTTATTTTACATTTCCATCTCATGAGTAGATAATATTTCAATTATTTGATGACTTTTTAATCATCCTTGTTTTTCATCTTCCTCACGCATTTTACTCTATTCCAATTCATCTCTCATATAATTTTGAATGTTTATTGGAAAATAGCATCTGTTTTGCATTCGATCTCCAAATATTCGATGGTGATAAAGGACTTGACAAAAAACTTAGTAGACTGACAGAATCCGCTGTTTCTTGTTTAGTGGTCGGCATGCATCACTCACAGTGGAAGAGTAGAATATAGTTAGAATATACAAGGCCGATATCTAGCAAATAACGGAGGTTGAATATTGTAATCAAGGCCCAACCGAGGATTATAACAACCGAAAGGATTATAACAAAAAGTCTTGAACAGATGGCCGTTATCAATTGTCAAAGTTGGGAAGTCCCTGTTGAAAGACTCTATACGTTGGACTCGTTAAGACTGATACATGACAACAGGTTTTCAAGATGCCTTTGGAAGTTTAGAAATCGATAAATATGGAATGTAAAAACACAAATGTCAAAACACAAATGTTGCAATAGCCTAACATATTCAGTTCAAAGAAAAATTATCAGGAAAGGCAACATTCTTCCTCATACAGCGGTGTATATCACTACCTCCCGACTAGTTCTGAAGAACTACGTCTCAAACAAAAGCGTAATAGTCACAACACCACAGTATAGGGCATTTTCTTGGTTCCAAATGTGTTGATTATTTAACACAATATTGTCCAAAACTTTTGAATTCATTGTTCACTATTTCATAGGTTTTTGCCTATTCTTCACCGTACTAATAAAAACTCATATCATATGAAATAGCACACGTTTATTGAATTGAAATTTTCAGGTGTTTGGTGAGAAAATAGACTACCCCAGACGATCTGTAAACATCAGCCAATTATCAAGATTGTCTTGTGGATTATCGTCCAGTTGTATACTAGTCCGAAGGACCCGTCACTTGAGGAATCTCTAAGATATATGTTAGCAAATATTTTTTGTAATTTTTCAGACAATGCTGGAGAATCTTCAGTACTGACTGCTTGATGAGGACTCAAAAGTATTAGTATTTTTATTTTAAAAATGGGGTTAATGCAGATGGGTCTCTCGTGTCTCTCGAAATGACGAGAGTTTTCAATTGATAAATTATGAAACCATTATTGAGAGTCGAATATGTTGTAAAAAAAAACAGTTCGTATATGTGTATTTTTTTGTCAATAGCATGAGTGTGCTCCAAAATAATCCTCTTCATCAGTCACTGAAAATATCGGATATTGTCTGAAAAAATAAAAAAGGTTTTCAAAAATATATATTCAACAGACCTTTCCTTTGCCATTTGTGTTTCATTGCCAAAGCTGGTCCAAAATAGGTCTCTGAAGTTCATTCTTGCAACAACTCAACAAATATGTGGCTGTATTTACATTTCCTAGAAAAATGGTGTTCATACTAATCTCTTTAGATCATGACATATTGTATTTTTTACATAAAACGCTTTATGATTTTTCCAAAGATAATTCTGAATGTATACTTTTTAATAAACCACTCTGAAAGCATGTAGTATTTTTTAAGAATTGATTGAAAACAAGTCCAGACGCTGGCTGAACCCTACNAAAAAATGTAAATTTCACGGCCGGAGATGACGTCGTGAACGCTATTTTCAGGGTTTTTTGGCCATGGTCTGCAGGTTTTTATGCCTGACGTTTCGTCTACAACTGCAGAAGACATTATCAAAGACAATATGGTAACGGTCTATGTGGCTATATGGCTATATACGTCTATATGCCTTTGCAGACCCGTAAAATAGCTTTTACACAATTCACAGTTCGTATGGCATCATTTGAGTATTTAATCAAGAAGAACGACTGTTTAATTTTCCATTTATTCGACCGATTTTGTTCGTATGGAATAATAACAAACTATGACTCATCTTCCGGAAAGTAAGTGGAAATTTTGAAATGTTTGCAGTGTTAAGCAACCCTGATTATAGGAGAAACTGATAAGTCTGCAATTCATGATCTGGCTTGGGGCTACAAGTTTCTTCGAACTCTCAAGGGATTAGAGTATATACTCTTTATACAGGAGACTGCACTAGAACTGGAGCTAGCTTTCTGATCAGCGGTCGGCGAATTAATATTATTTTTTCCAAAAAGGTCCTTTCACCGAAGCTCTGATACTACGCAGGCATCAATAATTGATGAACTACTACACAAAGCGTGAAACAAATGATCATTGGGTCCGGAAACAATGTGCTCAGTGAAAACATAATGAGCCAATAATGACAACGTTGAGGAAGACTATGCCAGTTATTATTTTGGAACATAACATATTGGACAATCTATTAAATGCAGAATATGGCATAGTTCATAGTTCAATAGTTCCATAGACAAACTTCGAAACCCTGTGCTGATAATTTTTATTAATGGACGAAATACACATCTAAGTAATTTTCGATTCGTATTTTCTTTGTCACCTTTTTTCCAGGTACAATTCTTACAGCAGCATTGGTATTCTGATGATCATGCATGAAGGAACAGTTCCGTATTTTCTAAAAAAAGGAATATATGATAAGTAAGAAGAAAATTATATAAACCTAGAAAACTATACGTATTTTTTCATATTGAGGTTCGAAGAACGAAACTACAAAAACATTTCAATTGATAGTATATCATTATGAACATATGACAATAATAAAATAAAAAAGATTAGTTACCGTTTTTGCAGGCTTTGTTCAACCCATAGAAATCTACAGGGTGCTCAAGTGTACCAATTTAATCGAAATTAAACGACCTCATGCATTTATTTTCATGATATTTAGTATGTTATAAAAATATCCCTAGACTTTTCCGATGTGTGTATTTCGTGTTAGTAGGTACCTTAAATTGTTTCAACGTCGTTTCATCGTAAATCTCTCTAGTTGTTTTTTCTTCATTCCAACAGAGTTGGCACAAAAACAATGCATAGTCTTTGTGCCAGTAATCCCCTTCGCATAACTTGATACATTTATGGCAGGTATCTGTGGGATTATTAACACAAATAGTTTCTACGGCGTTGTAAATTTTTGGTTTACCAAAACTATTCGTGGATTTCGTTCTCGCATATTCACTAAATCCTTGCAAATTATATGTGGGTGGCCTAAAAAAAGGCATGTTATTGATGGACGATATAATGATTGAGATGACATATTCGTTTTGTAAATGGATTGACTGATTTATGTTCATTACCTAATCGTATCGATAATTGACCTAAGATGTACGAAATCAATCGTGATCTGGCCAAGATCACGGTCAACTCGACTAGCGCTTCGCGATTGTTCTAGCTTCGCTTCGAGGGACTTCTGGTAACAATTTCTTATGGTTGTAATGGATTATTCCTCGATATGGCCTGAAGTTGTAGCCTTACCCGATCAAGACTCTGAAATGATGATAAAAGCTCTATTGCAGAACGGAATTGCCACGGAGGACCCCAGGAGTTACATTTGGATCAGGATCGCATCTTTGAATCGGATTTATGGAAAAAATGATGACTTTGTTTGGAATAAAGGAAATAAGAACAATTAATCTTCACCCACAGTCCGATATTTGTCTCGGGAAACCAAAGAGACTGGAATAAATTGGCTCTTCTCTTTCTGTTGGCATGTAGGAGCTCCCAACATGACGCAACAGCTTACACACCATCTATGTTGCTAACTGGCCGAGAACTGAAGCTTCCAATGGACGTAATGTGTGGCAGCCCATCTGACGAATCTCAAGAGGTACCTCTTTTAGAGTTTGTGAATGATCTCAAGAGACATTGACTGAACATTGTACGCAAATTTGCCGGATCTAAGTTACGGCTTTCCAGTGACAGGATGAATATAAGATTTGACAAAAAGTCGCTACCAGTGACCTTCGAAGAGGGTGAAGCTGTGTGATTCTACCAACCCCCAACGTCAAGAAAAATTGTGTTCCAAATTGCAGAGACCATTGCGAAGACCTTACTAGGTGACCAAAAAAAAAACGATCTGGTGTACACCACAAACCCACGGGGACAACGTAACAATATACCCTTGAACAAGCTGAATTTTCATCAATTCGAGAAAATATCACGATTTCCAAAACCATATGTTTCACATCATTTATTGAGCTGAATATTGAAAAACCTCTTCTTGGTAATTCATCATCATGGGCAGTTGAAGAATGAAATTAGCTTCATTTCAAGCCTTGATTGGTAACCAATTTCAATTCTGTCAAAAACATCCGATTGATCTACCGAAAACCTTGAACACCGAACTGTTGCAAGTTCGTTGTTCGGGTACTTACCTACTTACCATCGGGTTTATTCTCATCATAAGTTAATTAACTATGGAGCCAGAACCCTTTCTGGTGAACGACCAAGACAAAAACTACTTTATTGACATGTTGATGAGTGCCAAGTCCAGTATAAACTGGATATATGTCATCAAGCTGCCGACGATGCTGATAGGCTCATTGTCACCAACACAATTGCATTGAATGAGGAACGCAGCTCAGTGGCCGTTGTTGATGAAGACATTGACTACCTGCACCATCTAACATATACTTTCTAAAACCTTGTCGAGGAAAAGTATAATCGTCCACCTTCCACTCCTACACCACTTTGGACAGGACAAAGTGTTATGCTTCCATGCGAAGAATGGCTGCGATATAACTTCAGCCATATTAAAATAGAGAAAAGCGAAAACAGATACACTTTGAAGAAGAACCCCAACTTTAACGTCTCGCTGAGGATATTTACGGCTGAAGGGCCAACTCAGGCGATTGCCTTCGTTGAAGAAGAGCAGCCCTGTATGTACATATAGGTACAGGAGTTACAATGCAATCTATATCGCCGCATTCTCTCCAATTCCGGAAGAAGTGCGCTAACACCCACTGCTTGTTCACCTACATAGATACAACTCTGGTTGTGATAAGAGTACGAGCCTTTATAATTCGATTGGAAAAAGAATCCCAATCACCTCCAACCTGTCATAATGTCCAAGCCTCCAGTGCCAGAGTACCACAACTTCATTGACTGCTAATAGAGAAAAGACTAGAGAAAGACAAGATAAGGATATGGATGATGAAGGAGCTATGGGTGGTCTTCCTGAAGCCACTATTTTCATAGGCGAAAATGCGTTTAAAAATGATTTTCAATAATCAAAAATACAGAGAAGGTAATGATAATACTACATTTCTCTACAGATGAGGATGAGACAGACAAACCTACCGCCATGTAACCCACTATCGCAACTACATTAGAACCCAGCGCAAAAGGATACTTGTACTGTATTTCCATTTGATATCATTACAATGCGAATCTTTGATTTGATAGTTACAACTGGGGTCAAATTAATCTAAAATTTCTTTTTCCATATCAGAACAAAAATACTGTTTCTTAACGCGTGTTTCACTAACTATGATAGCATCATCAGAAGGTGTAACCTAACCTAGTGATTTGATTTAGATGTATGCTATAATGATTTATAATAATGATATTTTCAAGCTTGAACTCACCCAGGGTTATCATTATCACATATAAATTGTTTCCGATGAGAAGTTGTTCCGAAAGGTACTGCACTTCTTTTGATTTTTCTTTTGATTCTTACATCATATCTTCCAGGAGAAGGCGTTCTATGGTAAATCCTCTGTCTAAACCGTGGATCCTTACTAGCCAAAGGCCCTACACCAGCTTTGCTCCTGACCTATTCAAAAATATAAGTAGGTATGAGCCCAAAATTTTGTATTACAAAGTTATAACTATCCACACTATATCCATCCAACAAACAATTCAACCCAAACAACGATAGATGCGTGATCAAATCATGATCACCACGCACATTTACCACTTTTTGGTAGAATAAAACAAGTTTCCTTACGCTGGCCAATCAGATTTAGTTAAATCCACTGGCGGCATTCATTGTTATCGTGTCAAAGGGGTCAGTTACGTTTTAACGCATGTAGTGTGTACATATATGGTATTTTGAAGTTTAAAATAAAAAAAAAGATACGGCTGAAGAAACTGCTGATTAAATTTGAATCCCTAAACTCCACCTAAAAAAAGACCAAAAAAAATGCACCTTAATATTAATGGAAGAAAGGTAATTATGAACATTTACAGAAATCAAATTTTGTCCATTGATGAAATCGTGAGAAAAATAGGGAACATTGCTGAAGTGTCTCATTCAAGTGTTTATGAGGTTATGAAAGAATATAAACAGAAGCATTATTTTTCGGCTACAAAACCATATCCCTCACGAAAGAGAATTATTGATAAGGTAGACGATTTTAAAAAGAAAGTACATATTTTTGTTTCGGAACAAAATGCCAACAATAGATTCAGTTCTAAAAGTTGTAAAAGATGATCCTGATCTACCAAATTTCCAAAGGTTGACACATCACAAATTAATAAAAAAACTGAGTCTTGAATTTAATTATTGAGGGAGAAATATCTAGTTTGTTGCTCATAAAACCAGAAATAGTATTGTGGAGACGACAATATTTAATGAAACTGAGAACCTGAAGAGAGAATAGAAAAATCTATTTCCTGGATGAAACGTAGGTAAATGCAGTCCAAAATTTGGGTTGGTGAATCAATGATTAACTTCTTGAAGACAAGCTTTTTTAGATGGCCTCTCAACTAGCTTGAAAAACCCTTCAGGTAACAATCACCTCTTTATACTCTCAAGAAACCGCCTAGGTTCGTGAACAAGATAACTTGTTATTGTTATGTGACGTTATTCCTATGAGAAAAAACGTCTCTCCTGTTTCAACCGAGACAAAATGAACCCCTTTTCAGGAAAATAAAAAAAAGTTGATAGTATGTCACATAGGCAGCGAAACCAGTTTTGTCTACAACGCCTTGTGGGCCTTCGAGTAGAAGAAAACGGGCATGAGGAAATGGATTGCATGTTTTCAATCTTCCTCTTGAAGATGACCACTTGGCCATCGAAACACGTGTACGAGATGTTAAAAAAACGGTTTGGTGTTGAGGAAAAACTCCAGTAATATGTGAAAAAATATGTGAACTTAAAATATTCTTAGTGAAAGATAAAATAGAAATGAAAATCAAATCATCTGAAGGAACAATTCGTGCTAGGTAGTGTCTATCATCAGACGAGTGGCCAAACAGCCCGAAACCTGCAAGCCTGTTCCAATAATTGAAAATCTATTGCGGCAGTAATATCACCAACAGCATAAGCAGAAATAACCTCAGTAAAGAATCCTGCAGTGACACCTGTCGGATAAAATCCAACGCCCTTCGTGGTACTAGCCAGGGGACTAGTTGTTTTCTGATAGGTATCAGTCCACTAACCTACAGTATAGGGAGTTGAGACTGGCCTGAATGAATTGTTCTTTCAGATGATTTGATTTATAGCCAGTCTTCAAGTATGCCCACTGACTATTTGTGAAAAGAAATGAAAATATCAAGATTAGACCATCTAATGGATGATTTAGTTGACAGAAATCCGTTGATAATTAATCTTAATGGTGATTCTTCCAGTAACAGTTCTTCAGTATCAGAAATCATTCTAAAATGATGAAAGGATTTATAATTTTATTATTATTTTTCAATGTATATGCGTCATTTTGAAATCAAAAACTGTTTACCTGTTCGTCTTGCTGAAATGAAATGACCCCTATTTTTCTAGTTCATTCAATGTTAAATACACAAAATTGTTTTTTGTTTTCTTCATTAGTTAAACTATGATGAATGCTTCTCCTATACCCAGCCGCATATTATTAAAAAAATCGGTCGTTCCTTAGTGCGACTCTGTACAAGCAGCCTTGTCTGGGAGATCACGTGCACTATGCATGGTAATGTTTTGGAGCATTCCGTTGCTTGGATGGACAGAGTTTAGACTATTGATAACAAAGAACACAATAGGTAATACTCGGAATCATTTTGATGACCCTCATTAGGTAAAATGTGTGTTCAATAGATTCAGGAGCTAATGAAACTACTTTGACTTGAAAGATAACCAGAATAATTGGTAGTTCATGTAGCATTTTAAGAGGGTCAGGGAAATGATAGTGTTCTTCACTTCAACCAGGACATCAAATTCCTTATTCATCTATAACTTGGAAGCCCCAATCAAATTACACTTTAATGATTTCACGTCAACATTACACGTATTCAAAATAAGTTTAATGTTGACATGAAATTATCAAAGCTTTGAGAAATATACCAATGAAATATAATTTCATTTTATCGGATAAAACTATTACATGGGATTACATGATTAAATTTTATACTGAAGAAAAAAATCCAATTCGTGGGGCTCTAAAACTAACAAATTCTCATGTCTTTCCCACTAACTTCGAGAAATGAAAGTTAAATTTGCAACCCACTTATTCAGTGCCACCGTTTCGACAGCCTTGAAAATTTACACTACAAAATATTCTTTAATATCCTTAAATTTCGTTTTTATATGAGGGCACGCTTATGGTAAAAGAATGAAATTGGCTCCGCACTTCGTTTCGAGGTCACCGAGATTTTTGTGAATTTATGAATGAAAGTAGTGGAAGTGAACTTTCTGGTTGATTTTTACTGTGGTGGAACACCAACAGCAGCGGGAGCGCCTCCCACTGTCCAATCTTGGGATGCCAACGGCTGCACTCAATGTCATCACCGGAATGGCGCCATTTCAGGTAGAGGGATGGGACAGGTACCAAGAATAGAGAGAGAATGGGAGACGGAAGACAGAGGACAGGGTGAAAGGAGTTGATAGGATATTCCCCTGTCTGCAAGGGGAGTTGCTGGAGTAGAGAGAGGACAAAGGTGTGATTGAAGTATAAGTTGATGCTGGGGCGAGGATAGAGGAAGAAAGAATGGGGATAGGGTGGGTATACAAAAGAGGAGGGGATGAATCGATCACAGGGAATGAAAGGGTCTCCAGACAAAGCAGCGTGAACGAGGCAGAGCTGATTGCGATTGAGCGAGTGATCAGCATGTGGGGCATGGATGAGAGCGTGAAAGTAGTCAGTGACTCTGCAATGGNGAGAATGCTGATTGCTGACCTGGGACTACTTTCAATGATGCCACCGATTTGCGTTGCATCATTGAAAGGCAATTGTAATTATGATTTGGATTTTATTCCTATACTTCGAAAATAACATTTCACTCAATAGCTTCGACGAACTGAGATTATGGCGAATTATAGTTCAATCATATTGTAATCTTAATGATACTTTACTTGTTATGTTTATATATGTATGTTATATCTCACTTTGGAAATATAAGTTTTTAAAAATTTTTCATTTTGAAAAATGGGAAACAGTACTGATCCCCTTGAGTTACAGAATGCAAACTATAATATAACTGTAATGTAACTACAAACGTAACAGACTTGTAACTAACTCATTTCGCCACGCAGGACGTATAGGGTATTGAGTTCGTCAATCATGGCTTGAAACGATACCGCTAGATTGTGAACAAATCCAAGGAGGTGGAGTACAGTATTGTTTATATAAAACAAATATAGGGGTTGGGAGTTGCTATTATGAGAATATTTTATTTTTGTTTGTTAGTTATGTATGAAAATGTTAAGTTATGATATGTAATGTTTTTTGGTAAATAAAATAAAAAAGGTCTTCTACCCCGCTGATTTGCCTCCTCGTATGGCCGTTGCCTTACAACGGGGAGGGGGTGAGTTCGGAGAAGTATGGGTTCCCTTGACAGCGATGGCGTTAGATAATGGGAAGAAGCCTAATGCAAGGCCTACGGGCTAGGACATCCAAGGCAAAGACGTTATTCATGTGTTATAATAAAAACTGAAAATGAAGAGATTTTGATTTTGGTTTCAGACTCATCAGTGCAAGACAGATCCAATCAGACTCAAGTAATTTTATTGTTGCTCCACCACATACATGAAACTTTAGTCTGAGACTGAATCTGTTTTGAATAAATTAATTACATTACCATCTCATTAACAAAGCTTCAAGCGGGAAAGAAACATCCTATGTACCAAAACTCTCAACAGAAATCAAAATGAGTCTGATAATTGTGTATAGGAAGATACATACATATTGAGAAGGTCCTATCCCAGACGAATCAGGCAACATCCTCAGACAAATCAGGTACGTATCAATAAAAGCATTTGCAAGAAGTTCACGTGTGCATACATTTCTGTCTGATATAATTCAATGTCTATCGCGGTATTAGCTGAGGAAGTGGTTGTTTTCAATATTTCATTGCAAAACATTCATTTTGTCAATACAAATTTGTTTGATATCTGATGGTACTGCTGATTTTAACTTTGTCTCTATTTTTTAATTTCATAAACATCAGTATTACCTTATTGAGTTGATGGTGGAAAGCCGATGTAATTTTAGCAGAGTCGTAATATCCTGGACCAATCCTCGGAAATATTTCTGAGACCTGTAACTTCTGGTAGGGTGATAGCCCTTTGCCAACTGGACTCGTGTTTCTTTCAATAGTTGAGCCGAAGCAGATCTTATCGCTTGCTTTAACATTGACTACATAATCAAACCCTAGAAAAAAGACACATTTTCTAGCAAACAATTAGTTTTAGCTTTAATGCTTGGTGATGAACAATCAAGAGTTAATGTGAAACACGATTAAGAATAAATGACTATCCAATGCAATACAATTTGGACATGATAGAGATTCTGTATTCAAAATACAGAAAGGAGATTGGAATTGACTTATATATTTTTAGGCTCTCAAAAATGAACAGCTACTGAGAGGTTCAGAGCTAAACTTCTTGACTTCCAACTCACAAATAGTCTGATTACTCGTAAAAGAATTACTCGTCAAAGAATTTAACAAAAATTGTAAAACTTTATTTCATTTAGTGTAGAGGATAATTGTAATACCAAATATCTAACAACAATTGCAACAATTTATTACTTGTTAGTTGAAAGCAAAAAAGTTTTATCTGTACAAATTATGTGCACTCACAAAGTTCACCAAGGAGGTGGTTCCCATCGATAACATTTCATTAAATCAGAGATAAAAGAATGAAACATTTCCCTTGCAAGGAAATGGTGCGTTCCCGTAGTACGCATGGGATGTTCACAAGAAGTATAGGTGACGGGGGCCGATGAAATGGCCCCCAAGGTTTCCAGATCTTAGACCCAGGATTTTTTGTGGCATTATTTGAAAATGTGAAGTCCACTAGAATCATTAAATTATTGGAAGGATCAGTAGAATCTATTAGCAATCAGCAGGAGGTATATATATGTAAATCTGCTTATTATCAAAGACTAGTTGATTTTTCCTAACATTTGATTTAACTGAAGGTAGATTGAATTCGAAATGCTGTTGCATTCAGTTCGTAATAAAATCTCCTATAATAATGATAATGTTTTTTTTTTCTCTGATAATTAAAAAATTGAAGGGGTTATATTTTTAGGAGTGATTGATTTTTGGGAAAGAAAGTTATGAAATTGGTGAGGTGCCATCTCATTACTTAAACAGTTTTACTGATAATATGCAATAATATTTGAATACTAACCTGAAAACCATTCAGGCAAGTTTTAATTACTTCTGTAAGTGTTAAACAGTATTTTTCGAAAATTGCCCGTAAAAAATAATAAACCAAGGTACCGTTAGCAAGGGAGTTGAATACCCTTCAAAATGATATGCCCCCCTTTCCATTTGATATTCTGAAGGTATCATCTACCCTTTCTGAGGGGTTGAACCATCAGGGTCAAAAATATTCATTTGAAATGTTCCTCTTCAAAATAAAATTGACCTGTCTGATTTTTCATAGTACGTACTGGAAGGGAGATATTGAGGGTGGAAAGTTTTCAAATTGACAACCTTTATATACCCTGAACTTGTGTGGAGATTACTCCAGATCACTAAGCCTAAGGATTCAATGGGGAATGGGAAAAAATACCAGCGTGGTTCAAACAAAACTGGCTGGTATCTTAATCGCCACAAAAGAAATAACCAGGAGATGAATTTCTGGCAAAAGCATAACAATCTGCACTGATAGTGGACAAGCCCTATTAGCCTTGAACAGACAACGTGTTACCTCAGGGCTAGTACTAGAGTGCCGCCAAAATTTAGCCAAAGCTTCGGAAGATAATAACATTATCCTGAGGTGGGTTAAAGGGCACGATAGGAGTAAATGACTATTCAAACAATNCACCCACGGCCTGATGACTTCGACAATTGCGGAACTAGCCAAACGTTACACCCATGCTCAATCCCTAAAGAGACGGGAGGGAATCAAAGCTAGCAGTCTTGCCAGGATCACGCTGGGCGACCCTGGGAAGCTGGCGCCGAAGAAATATCTGGCGATGACCAGGAAAAACCTACGCTTAACAGTAGGATTTCTGACTGGCCACTGTCAACTAAGGAAACACCTCCATACTATGAGGCTAGTGGACACACCTCTATGCAGGATGTGTCAACGGTAAGATGAAACTGTCAGGCATGTCTTATGCAAGTGTCCGGAGTTATCGTCAATAAGAGAGTGTGTGTTCGGTCTTGGCCTTCACCTGCCGATATAAAAGAGATGTCTCCTAGTGACCTGTCCACCTTCCTGGAAAGGACAGGATGGACGACGACCTAGGAGGACAACTCCTCGGGAGAATGTACAATGGGTCCAATGTGGCCTAAGTGCTGTGAGCCTACCCTGACTCTCCCCACTCTACAGATACAGATATCCTGAACTTACAAGTCAACTTCTCACAGTGAGTCTTGGAATTCATTGAGTCACCAATATATACACGAAATTTTTTTGCCGGGTTTGGCCAATGCTGCAGTTAGGTTAGTACATCCGTACTGCACAAAGTATCTGAGACGAATTCATTATCAAAGTAGGTTATTCTCTACAGCAGTCAATGGAGAACACTTTGAACATTCACTTTTTTCAGTATCTGATAAAGACGTAATTTCATTCAATGATGTGCTAGGAGTCTCACGTTTGAAAGTAATATCTCGTTAATCCTAAGAGCGTGATAGAAAAACAGGTTTTGAACAGATTCTTCATGTATTATTTGTAAAATTTTCAGTGATGTATAACTTTCTAAATAGATGTTTAGCACAACTTTTTAGCTGCTGTCTATCTTGTATCAGTTTGTCGCAACTTATGACATTGCTTTAAATCATCTTAGCAAGATAACTTCGTAGATTGAAAAACAAGTGAAGTGTTGGATTTGAAAAAACCGACCTGTTTATTGAATTATTATTTCAAAAAACATTACATCGAAATGAATAATCGACCTATGAAATGAGCTGGATTATTTTGTTTGTTGAATGTTAGTGATACATGAATTAAATTGATTAAATATGTCTCTATGACGCTCGAGTAAATCCCCATTTTGCATCGTGGGCTCCCCTACTATAAATGGATTGCACTGTATATGTGAAAGACATTGCACAATAAATTCAACCCCTGAGATTTTATAAAAACTACAAAAACTCAAACTAATCTTCTATGCACTTTCCACTCCTTTCGAACTCCTCAACACTCTTTGAACAAAGTTTTGTTATAACAATTGAAAAACATACCTTCAAAAGTTTCTCTGTTCATAACCATACTTGCTACTCTAACAAAACTTCCCTGAAACTGGTAATATTTCTGAACATGTGCCTTGCGTGAAATAAAAATGCTTACTAAAAATCGTGACTCTACGTTAATTTTATTGATGTATTCAGCATGGAAATAAATCAAATACAAGGTTAGATTTCGAAAAATTTATGAGACAAATTAATATTGGAGCAAGGTACCATCATCCGAGATACATATAAACGTCTATAAATACCTAAAGGGAAAGGGTAGAACTGTTCGTTCGATTGGATTGTTTTGAGATCTAATTATCCTTTTAGAGATTAGTTCACGAACAAAATTAATTGAGGTTTGTGGTGGCTAATTAACAGTTTGAGAATTTATTCAAAATGATCTCTTCCTCTTTTCTTGATTTAGAAAGCGGTACATGTGCCCAGGTTGGTTGTTGATTTTTTTTAGAAATTTATGTATAAGTGCTGAAAAGTGTTACCAGATGAAATATTTTATTCAGGCACCATCTAGAGGAATTTCCAGAAATAATTTTTCAACACTAGAGACCACTGTACAGAGAAATCAGAGTGTCAATTTTCTGACATTTTCATTTCCTTCCAATGTTTGCTTTAAAAGGAAATATAACAAAGTACAGGGTGTTACCCCAGGGTTCAATGAACTAAACCTTGAAACTTTTTATCANTTTGATTATTAGCAGAAATCTGGATGTATTGTGTTTTCTGACAATTTAGTTTCAGCTTATTAGATAGAAACCACTGATTAGCACTATTAGATACCTCGTCGAGATGAGACTGTAACATATCATTATTTTTATCAGACAGAATGAAAGTGGTGTCGTCCACAAAGAGAACCGATTTGAACGGTATCATATGTTTGCACAAGTCATTCACATAAATGGCAAATAAGAGCAGGCCCAAAACAGACCCTTGCGAAACGCCATGCTTAATAGTTTGAGAGTTTGGTAAGGTACCATTGAGCATCACTGCTTGTTGACGATTAGTGAGATAGGTTCTTATTAAGTGAAGCGGAATACCTCTAACTCCGTAATAGTTTAATTTTTCCAGTAGAATTTCATGTGAGACGCAGTCGAACGCTTTTGACAGGTCACAAAGCATCAACGCAGTGTGATTGCCCTGCTCAAGTTCCTTAATCACGCCAGACATTACGTCGAACACTGCATCTATTGTTGAGCGCGACTTTTTGAAACCATATTGTGAGTTGCTGAAAAATGTATTATTCTCAAAGTAGGCATAGACCCGTTCTCGTATGATTGTACGCTTTTTATAATTTTGTTTGCTGCCAAGATGAGCATGGCAATGGTCGACCAAATGAGGTAATGATTCCAGAAACGGTGAAGAAAACCCACAAGGCGGTACAGAATGGTTGTCGACTGAAAGTCCGGGAGCTAGCAGACTCAGTGGGCATTTCAAAAAGTGCGGTACAAGGAAAATTTAAACATGAGAAAGCTGTGTGCAAGATGGATGCCGCGTGTGCTCACACTCGAGCAAAAACAGTTTCATGAAGATGTTTCAATTGAGTGTTTAGCAAAGCATGCACCAGCTCACAAATCCATTATCGCCATGACCAAAATTAACGAATTGAAGTTTGAATTGCTACCTCATGCACCCTATTCGCCAAATTTAGCCCCCTCGGAATATTTTCTCTTCCTAAACTTAAAAAATGGCTCAGTGGTCAAATACTTTCCAACGATGTGATGTGACGTCGTCAGTGTTTCGTTGCGCAGCCAGACACATATAAGACGACCTTCTCGTTGTGCCTAATCATATTTTTGTGCTTGAATGATTTTTATGCTTCTACGATTTATATGATTTCGTGCTCTCATGATTTCGCCACTTTTGAATTATTATCTATAAATACTTGAAAAAGTTAGACAGTGAGCCAAGAATGACAGCCTTCTGCATCTGTGCGGCAAAAATGTCTGCCTTAGTGCGGCAAGCCGTTATGATTTTGAAATTCGAGAGTAGAGAGGGCATCATTCCACCAAGGACTCCAATAATCAGGACAACCATCTTGACAGAGTGATCTGGATAGAGTCTGCGGAGTTCGAAGAGACAATCTCGATATTTTATCCGTTTTTCCTCCTCTTTTCTGACGATATTCGTCTCGCCAGGAGCTGAAAACTCCACGATAAATATCGTTTTGCTTTGGTGGTCGAGAAGGACTACATCAGACTTTTTAGCTCGTATGAGCCTGAGGGTGGGAAACGAATAGTTCCAATAAATTCGGCACTTCTCGTTTCACACAATGAATTCAATTTCTCTCAGAGCGTAATGCAACACCGGTGTCTCGTCAATACCGGAATGCCATAGATGGTAATATAGCACTCTTAGGGCCGCATTATGTCGATGGCTATAGGTCGAGACCGTATATGCTGGACATGCGGATAGCAAGAGCATTAGTGTCTCAGGCGCCTTGCGGCAGACCTTGTGTCAGGAACCTCTATACCCATCACGCTACCGCGGTAGACTAAGGTGTTGAAGACACCATCCTGGAAAGCCATGATAAACCCCTCAGTTTCCGACTCCAGCCCACTCAGCCTGAGAAAAGCGAACGTCAGGCGCTTTGATAAGCCAAGGTCTCCAATGTTATTGAAGAAAACCCCATGCATTGGCCTATCCTTGTGTTTCCGCAGGAGTAAAGTGATCTCTGCGGCTTTTATCCAACTCGGCTTTTATTCCAACTCGGTGACAGAGTTGAGGTCACCTCGTTCAGTGTCGAAAACCATACCGAGTTCATCAGCTGCCCTAAAGAGATATGCTCCAATTTCTGCTCTTTCATGGTCACGAACCATGCAGAGAAGGGGATCCGAACTCCTGACGACTTTACAGGTTGTATCCAGTACCATTATGTCATGTAGACACTCCAAACTCAAAAGCCCCCGGCCTCCCTGTTGTCGGGGGAAGTACAACCATGGGACGGACGATTTGGGATGCAAACTCCTATAGAGATGCATCATTTGTTGGGTCTTTACGTCGAGTTGATACAGCTCCTACCGAGTCCAGTTTACTACTCCAAACGAGTAGAGTAAGATTGGAACGGCAAGTATATTTGTTGTAGCAACTTCGTTCTTCCCCGACAGTCCCGATGACCAGATATGCCGAAGTTTGTGCTGATACTTGCCGCGGAGAGAGTTCTTCACTGCTGTTACCTCTTGTGAGTGACGCTGTTCCTCCCCGAAGTAAGTATACGTCTCTCGGGCATCCAGATGGTGTAGGATGCTTCCATCTACGAGCTGCACATCCTCTCCGTAGTCCCCGCATCGTTCTCTTTTGAGATGGACCATTATTGCACATTTGTCTATCCCGAATTTCATACCGATAGCATGCGTGTACTCTTCCACCACCCTCAAAGACTGATGGAGATCCTTTTCTCCAGAAGCATAAAGTTAAAGATCATCCATATAAAACAAATGGGTGACCTTGTGCCTCCGGGTTTTCGGGAATGCCACAATTATACCCTCGAGTATTTCTGAGCGCAACAATAATGGCAATAGTGAGATGCAGAAGAGAAGGGGACTGAGGAAGTCACCCTGAAATGCACCCCTGCTGAAAGTGACCCAGCCTGTTTGGACTCTGACTTGACCAGATGTTATAGTAAAGCGAGTTCGCCAGAGTGGTATCAGTTGTTCAATGCATCTCACTATTTTGTCGCGTACCGCAAGGCATCTGAGCAAATGCAAGATGAGCTCATGCGATATTGTATCAAATGCCTTACGGTTATCGATCCAGGCCATAGAGAGGTTACGCGTATATTGTATCGAGTCCTGCGTTACACATCTATCGATGAGTAGGTTCTCTTTACATCCAGCGACTCCTCTCTTCGATTCTCTCTGCTCATATATCCCTTCGAACACTCGGTCAACTGCAGTGAGTATTCGTGTGTATAAGATGCTTGTAAACAACTTATAACACGAATTCAAGCATGTTTTCGGTCTGTAATTCTTAGGAATCGACAAATCTCCGCTTTTGGGGATGAGAACGGTCCGCCTCTTGACAAACCAATCCAGAATCGACTGCTCTCCGTCAAGCCATGAGTTGAAAACTCTGGCCAGCCAGATGACGGTGGGTGCTTGGTAGTTTTTTCCACCAATATGTGTTCAGCCCATTTGGGCCTGGAGTAGCAAAGTTGCTGGAACCCACAAGGGCTCTTCGAACGTCATCTGGGGTTATCGGGTTACGCAGTTCACTGAGCTCAGGCTGTCGAAACTCTCTGTTGAAAGCTTCGAACTGTGCTAGGGCTGGAGTGTCTAAGTTGAGTGGCTGCGGGAGTTCATAGATATCCTTTCAAAAGGATTTCACCTGATCAGCGGTCGACGGCAACACGTAGAGGCTCTTGGAATATGCGAGAAGGTTTCTCGAGGAACCTAAGGTTTTCCGCGATACTTCTCACGGAGAAGTATAAACATTGAATAACACGAAAGAAAAAGTACTTTCGAAACAATTATTTTCAAATATTGATTGAACAATATTAAATTCACTTTTTCCTATTCAATTGGTACTCTGAGGGAATTGAATCAGATATTATTCATAGGAACACTATTCAATCTATATTGCGAAAGTCACTCACTTAACACTCATTCATTCATCTCTGTTTCTCCGTACTGGTGAGTCCTAGGCAGCTGAAATTTGGTAAATAGGTGGTTCTTAGGTCTTAGATGCGCACTTAGAACGGATTTTCGAATGAAACATTTGGGGCGGTAAAAGGGGTGCTTTTACCTATGAAAATTACCTTTTCATTACTGTTTCTCCGTACCGCTATATTTTTGGAGGCTGAAATTTTGTATGCAGGTTCGGTTTATGTTGATTTTTAAGTATTCCAAATGGGGCGTCAATCGCGGGAGAAAAATGTGTATCCATGAAACAAAATTATCTTTTCATCTCTGATTATCCATGCCCTCAAATTTCTGGTGGGTGAATTTATATACTGTGCGCCCCGTGCGGAGCCGGGGCCGCTCGCTAGTGTCACATATGGAAGAGTTACCATATACAATTTCACTTACATGGAACACAAGACACTTGACATAACATTACGATTTTATGTTACGGATAA